GTGGACCGAGCCCCTCCCCCGGCGCGCTGGGGGTCACGAGCGGCCGCAGCACGCCGGGAACGGGGGCGGGCGAGCGGACCCGCGCGCAAAGTTGGGATGTGCTTGCAGGAGCCGCGCTCCGCAGGCCCGCGCAGACTCCGCGTCCGGTGACGAAACCAACGCGCACCGCGGGGGGAGGCCAGCGCCAGGACGTACCAACTGCGCGAGGCGAGGGGCGCCACCACCCCGAGGTGCAGGCGGCCTGCGGCCCCTCGGGCCCTGCGGGTGCCCTCGCAGTGTGCGTGCTCCCTGTAGTAACTGCTAGCGCTTGAAGGAAACCGGAGTAGCGCAGAGCCCCCGAAACGCTACCGTTAACCCTTCGGTGTTTTCTCTGACGCATCCAGCCGCCTCCGGCCCTTTCTTTGCATGTGTCTAGAGTTACACTGAAATTAACCTGTTCACATGACCGCTTGAAAACTCTCGGAATGGTAAATGCTCAAGCCTAATCATTTCAGGGGAGGGGGAAATCTGGGAAACTCAGAGGTGTCAGGTGAAGTGTAAAATCAAGACAGCCACTTTTGGTGAAATTTATTTTTTTTAATATGTTTTTATCGATTTTAGAGAGAGACAAAGGGAGAGAGAGAGAGAAACGTCGTTGAAAAACATCATGGAAACATCAAGGTGGATAGGCTGCCGCAGGCAAGCCCGCTACTGAGGATGGATCCCGCAACTGGGGCGTGTGCCCTCACCGGGAATCCAACCAGTGACCTCTTGGTTCATGGGTCGGCTCTCAACCACTGAGCCACACCAGCTGTGCTGAAATTTATTTTTTTATGATAATCTGTAAGTAGGTTGACTTTTTTTCTTTTTGGTGAAATTTAAAATGTGCATTACCCAGCAATTTAATGTCTAGAAAAGTACAAAAAGAAACTGCTACAGGTGTGCACAAAAAGACATGTTCATGTTCAAGCCTGCTCCCTTGCAAAAAATAAAAACAGAAATATCCAATACCACATACATGATGTGATATATTCCTAAGATAAAATATTACAACAAATAAAACTAACAAGTGAGTCCTATAAGTAGCAATGTTTGATAGCTCATAGCATGAGTTTTTGAAATAGCAGCATGCCAACAAATATGTACACTATAAAATGCTATATGTAAATTAAAAAATACACAGGATGATAGTATATCCTGATTATAGAAAATACATGTATAAAAAAGGAACTATATGGATAGATAAACACACAACGCAATGATGTTATGACGGCAAGAAAGAGGAGGAGTGGAAGCCAGGATGGATGCAGAGAGGTGATAAACAGGACTTCAGATATGTCATGATATTACTGGAAAGGATACCTGGCTCTTAATGGGTCTGCCTCTGGCTGGCCCATAGTGTGTGGGTTCTTGATTCATGCAGAAAAGATTTCACAACATGAATCCAGGTGATTTTGAGAGTATGTTTGTTAAAGCTGGGGACAATGACACAAGGGCTTAGGATAGAAAAAGCAACAGGAGAGCGTAGGCGGGGCTGCTTTGGCTCTATGGAAATACTATAGGAAAGAAATGAGCCTAGGTGGAGCTGCTTTAGCTCACTGGGAAGTCAAAGAAAAGGGGCCCTGCCCGGCTGGGCATGGCTCAGCGGTTGAGCATCAACCTAGGATCCAGGAGATTGCGGTTCGATTCCTGGTCAGGGCACATGCCCAGGTTTCGGGCTTGATCCCCAGTCAGGGGTGTGCAGAAGGCAGCTGATCAATGACGACTCTCTCATCTTCGATGTTTCTCTCTCTCTCCCCCTCTCCCTTCCTCTCTCTGAAATCAATAAAAATGTATTTTTTTTTTTTAAACAAGAAAAGGGGCCTTGGAGTCGAGTTCAGGGGGTTAGCCTGGGACGATAGCCACTGCCCATTGCTCCCGTGGTTTCAAGTCTCATAGTGACCCTTAGAGTTTAGGAGATGCACGCCTGTGCGAGAAGAGGGGGAATGGGAAGGAGAGGAGGCAGGAAAAGACGCAGGCTTGTGTCTTTCTCCAAGAGGGAGAATTCATACTGGGACCTTAGTTTTGAGGGTTTTAAAGGCTGAGAGTTTAGGGGTGGTCTTAGGGAAGGATCTCAATAGAATATTCATCAGCTTTTCCAGGAGTATCCTTTCAGGGCCTTGGTCCCCACTGATTGGTTGGTGCCAGGACAGGGGGTCATTAGTCACTGCAGCTGGTTTTGGCATTGCCCACCTGGTTTTGCTGCTTTTCTGCGCCTGGAGCTGAAATACAACTGAAGCTTAAATGTTATCTCTAGAGAGGTGACCTGTATCTGGCTGTAAAGTGCTTAGCCAGTTTGTTCAGCTATCTGTCTCAGTCTCCCCTTTCCACTTGCCAAGGAATTTTCCTAGCTTCCTACTATCCTGCCTAAATGATTTCTTTTTTAAAAAGAAGAAACCTAAAACTAAACATAACAAAATGTTAGCAGTTGGGTAGTAGAACTACACATTATTCTCAGTACTTTTTTGTAACACTTAATCTTAGAATTCTGTTTTCCTATCTCCCCAAATCACCTACCTCCAAACGATCCTCCCAAATCCAGCTAAACCACTTTTTCACCTGCCGCCTCTAACTCCAGTTCAGTTCTCCTGCTTGTTTCCTCAGCTTCTGGGACATTCAATCACCCATGCATTTATCCGCCGTACATATCTATTTCTTATATAAGACTTGTTAGCTTTCTGAAGACATGATCCATGTAACCCTAGCAAGCAGCAAAGAGCCTGGCCAAAAGCAACACTAGATACATGTTGATTGAATTGAATTGTGAAGAAAGGAAATCAGCAAAGGTTTCAGTGCAGGGCCGGAAGGGTCCTTTTGGAGAATCCTACCTCAGAGAAGACTGGTGATGCAGTTGTTGTTGGCAGCCAACTTGCAACCGTAAGGAGAGCCAGCCTATGGTAGGTGGCCTCTAATAAGGCCTCCAATTGTAATGGAGTGAAATGCTCATTCTCTGTGATGCTACCTTAATTCTAGCCTGCATTTTTCCTGTGGCCTTCAGGCCTTTAGGCAAACAGCTTCTGCTATAGATAAGCTAACCATTACAGGAATTCTGCTCGAGGCTTGAGTTTTGGAAGAACGGCCCCTTGCCAAAAGGTACCTCTGTGGAAGAGGGGTGACTCAGATCAGTAAGGGTCAACAGACCAGGAACAAACAGATTTAGAGGTTTTTCACTCTTCTTGGATTCCTGCTGGTACCCAGATGTCTAGGTAGTCAATCACCCTTTGTCCCTCCCTTTCTCCCTTCCCTTGACATAAAAGAAGCCTGAATTCTGGACCCTCTGGGGACGAATTTGAGCACCTATAAGTGCCCCCATCTTCTCAAGGTGGCACCTTCTCCATCCATAAACCTTTCCTGATTCCAAATTCTGATGTTTTGAATACTGGCCTTTGGAAGTATCCAGCACACAGACTTTGAACCAGCAGGTAACACAATCAATCATCCAACCTCTTGGCAATCACACTCTTGTGTAATCCTCTCCCTCCTCTTGAAGGTGGGCTACACTTAATGACTCTTTTTTTTTAATATAATAAGGCAGAGGGATGGGATATCATTTCTAAAACTAGGTTATAAAAAGACTGTGGCTTCCTTCCTGGGCACTCTCAACCTCTGAATTTGCTCAATTTGCAGGAATCCAAATGCCAGGTCATGAGGTAATCATGTGGAGAGACTCACATGTTGGAGAGGATTTTCCACCCACCCTCCACCCACCCACGGTCACAGCTTAACCACAACTTCATAAGAAACCTTAAGTCAAAGCACCTTCAGGCTAAGTCATGCCCAGATTCCTGACCCACAAAAATAATGTTTATGTTTTCAGCCACTAAGTTTGGGGGCGATTTGTTATATAACAAAAGAGAACTAATACGCAGCTTAGAAAACAAAAACAGAAAATAGGAGGGTGAGGGCCCTGATCACATACATATACCTAGAGACCATTTCACTCTGGTCTTTCTGTGATGTGAGATAATAAATATCCTTAATGTTTACATCACTATGAAATATATTTTCTGTTACTTGCAGTAGACAACATCCTAATTGATATAAATCTGAGTGGCCATCAGTAAGAAAATAATATATTACATAGTATAGTATATTCATATAATAGAATAACAGGACAATTAAAAGAAATGAACTAGGTCTAAATGTATCATCTTAGATAGATCTTTTTGTTGTTGTTGTTGCTAATCCTCACCAGAGGATATTTTTTCCATTGATTTTTAGAGAGTAGAAGAGAGGGAGGAGGGGGGAGGGGGAGAGAGAAACATCGGTGTGAGAGAGACACAACAATTGGTTGCTTCCTACATGCATCCTGACGGGCTGGAGATCAAACCTGCAACCCAGGAACGTGCCCTTGACCTCAAACTTGCAATCCTTCGATACACAGCCTAACACTCTAACCACTGAGCTACACCAGCCAGGGATTCATCATAAATAGATCTTTAAAAATTAACTTTAAAAAGCAAGTTGCAGCCCTAGCTGGTTTGGCTCAGTGGTTAAGAGTGTCAGCCTGTGGACTGAAGGGTCCCAGGTTCAATTCTGGCCAAGGACACATACCTCGGTTGCAGGCTGGGCCCCATTTGGGGTGGGTGAGGGAGGCAACCAATCAGTGTGTCTCCCTCACATCGATGTTTCTCTCTCTCCTCCTACTCTCTCTGAAAAGCAATGGAAAAAAATATCCTCAAATGAGGATTAAAAAATAATATATATATTTTTAAAAAGCAAGTTGCAAAATGGTGCAAGCTCCATGAGAATAGGGACTCTATTTTGCACATTGCTATATCTCCAGTAGCTAGTACATAGCATTTTTATACACCAATAATGAACTCTCAGAAAGAGAAACTAAAAAAATCCCATTTATC